CAACCAGTCACGTGATCTGTTTATGACGTGGTTTTGTGTTTCCGTCGACACGCCGGAGTCATAAACTTTTTAAAGCGTCTCCACATAGAAACACTCTTCTGGTGTCTGACTGTCTGTGGACGGTCCTCTTTAGGTGGACAGTCGTCATCATGGAGACTTACAGACACAACCAGTTCTGACTCGTGACAGATTTCAGTCGGAGGACAAGTGTCTGTGTCCGTCTGACAATCCTGAGTAGGATCTGTCTCCAGACTCTCCACAGGTGTGTGTGGGTCTGGTGAACTCCCTTCAGAAGCAGCCTGGAGCTCAGAGCAGAGACGGTCTTGCAGCTGCAGTCTCAGGGCTTCAAACTCTTCTTCATGCTGCTCATTAATTCTGAGTTTCTCCAGCTGAAGGTTTTTGATTGCCCCATAGAGTCTGGTCTCTGTGTCCTCCATAGTCTGCAACTTGCTCATGAGATCTCCGTTCTTCTTCTGCAGATCTCCAATTTCTTTTTCTAAACTCTGATGAACTGAGTCTTTGTTGTGACTGTTCTGTAGTTCTTGCTCTAACTGCAGGCGCTGCTGGTTTAAACCTTCCTGCAGATCTTCACAGACACTTTCCTTTTTCTGCAGCTCATTCTCTAAAGTCTGCAGTCTGTTCAGTCTGGTTTCTGCGACATCCTGATAATAATCCAGTCCCTGCTCTAATTCATTAATTTCTATCAGTAACTTCTCCTTACTGATGTCTTTTTTCGGCTGTTTTTTCTCTAACTGGACTCTCAGCTGCTTTTCTTTGTTAAAACATTCTTCCAGTTTTACACAGAGAGAAGATTTCTCCTCCAGCTGTGCAGACACCTCATCCAACTGCTTCTTCACGGAGTAAAAATTCTCCATCTTGGTTTTAAGATCTGTGTTTTCTTTATCTAATTCTCCAATTTGCTTCCTGAAGTGCTGATTGTTTAAATCTTTGTAGAAACTGTTCTTCTGTTGGTCTTCTAGCTGGCGCCTGAGGTCGGGCTGGTCCTCTAAACGCTTTTGGAGATCTGCACAGACACCTTCCTTTATCTGCAGCTGAATTTCTAAAGCCATAATTCTTTTGTGCTGGGTTTCTGGGGTTTCTGCCTCACTTTGATGGAAACCCAGTCTCTCTTCCAGTTTACTGATTTCTTTCTTTAAGTTCTCGTTACTTATGTCTTTCTCCTGAATCTTCTGTCTTTGGTGGGCTCTGATCTGAGATTCCTGTTTTAAACGCTTCTGGAGATCTTCGCATAAATCATCTTTTTCCTTAAGTTGAATATTTAAAGTTCTCACGTTTTCTTCATGGGTCTCTCTTTTGCTCTGGTAATAATCCAGTCCTTGTTCCAGTTCATTAATTTCTCTCCTGTAAAAAGCACAATCAGACTCGGCCTTAAGTCTGTTTTTCTTCTCGTTCCTCAGAGACTCGTTTGCACGGCTCAGATGGTTTTTGAGTTCACGCACCTGCCTTAAAAGTTTTTCCACGTTTTCATGTTTTTCGCAAGCAGCTGATTCCTGCTGGACTTTTCCAGATCCAGGAGTTTTTTCTAGTGGTTTCAAATCATGTTCGGAGCTTTCTTGGCCGTTTCCGTCAGAATCAAAAGTTTTTTTCAGATTGTAATCCACTTCTGGATCTTCGAGGCACATCTCATACCAAGACGGTTTTGTTTTACTAGAGACGTTGTTTCCAGGCATTTCTGGCTCTTTGTGTAAAATATTCTTGTGTTTGAGAGAGAAAGTCAGAAACGCGATGATTCTCACGAGAGCTCTGTCACACGTGTGTTAACAGTGAGCTGTGGAGTCTACTACTGACTGACGAGCCTTTGATGACGTCATATAGAGCACGCAGACGCTGGCAGGGCCCTTTATGTTGTGCTCCTGATCTCCTTTATTCTTCTTCCGTGGACGTTAACGCGTGCACCCTCCCAAGTTATACATCAAAACGAGCGGCTCGGCAGTGGGAGATGTACTCTTTGGTTTTCTAAGCAATCCGTTTTACGATGGCGGAAAGATTTGCAAAAAACGTGTTTGCCACTCAAAATTTGCATTATTATCCATTAAATATGCGCAAAATTTAATTTGTTTGTATTTATTTATTTAGTTATTGACTTATTTTTAAGGAGGATAAAACCACTTGAGATTAAGCATCTCGTTTACAAGTGAGCAGAGGTGGAAACGAATTGAGTAGCTTTTTTGTTTATTAATACTTTTTAAGTTGTTTTGAAAATCCGTACATTTACTTTTACTAGAGTATGTTTTTTAAGAATTGTAATTCACTTTTTTTTTAAGAATTGTAATTCGCTATTTCAATCATATCCGTAACTGAAAGAAGTTGTAGCTTAATGAATTAAAAATATTGCATGAGTGCCGCGTCCAAACGGGGAGGGGGGTATACCTTAGGTAATGAGGACAAACAGACATTTTTACCGCAGTTTTGCTCAAAAACATCAGTTCAGTCCCTGTGATCAACTCGCTGTTTACCTCCTATCTCCCTCTTCTGTGGGTTGGAACCCGCACCTTAGCGCACCGGTGTGACGTCATCAGAATTCTGCTCGGTTCGGTAACCAGACTCGGTTCCGTATTTGAAACGTGTTTCCCTACCGCTCCGCACGGCAGCGGCAAAATAACGTTTAGCGCTCATAAGTAACAAGCGGATTCTCAGCACTTTGCTCATAAAACAGAAGACCTGCAGGCCTCTGTGAGTTAATCCTGATACTGTTCAGGTGTAAACATTGTGCTCCATCCCTGTGGTTGAACTCAGAAGATGCTTCTTGATGCCGCAGATATGTGATGATTTAGCTTGTTTCTTTATTTTACTCCAGAATAAGAGATTAAATTATTACTAAAGCAGTTCAATGTAGTTAAATTAGTCATTCACATGATTCTAACATGCTGCAGTGTGTGTGTGTGTGTGTGTGTGTGTGTGTGTGTGTGTGTGTGTGTGTGTGTGTGTGTGTAAGTGTGTGTGTGTGTGTGTGTGTGTGTGTGTGTGTGTGTGTGTGTGTGTCTGTGTGTGTGTGTCTGTGTGTGTGTACATATGGCTGAACATGAAAATAGTCTCCTACACCTGTCTCCTGCAGTAGCTTCTGATAGAAAACAGACGGTGAAACTCTAGGATCACAAAGGCCTGACAGATCTACGTCACAGTTTTGCTTATTGTGTCTTGGTCAAGTATGCGCTTGAGTATTTTTGGTTGGTTCATAGCATAGCATAGCATAGCATAGCATAGCATAGCATAGCATAGCATAGTTTATCTATATAGCACATTTAAAACGCAGCATGGGAGCTGCCCAAAGTGCTGCACAGGCTAAAACAAAACACAACCATTCGAAAGAACTAAAACAGAGGATAAAAATACCAGTCAAAAGCAGATAAACATGATGAATACTAAGAACACATTAAAACAATGATACAATTAAACACTAAAACGAGTCACTGTCTAAAACCTAAAGAGTAAAAGTGGGTCTTTAAAAGATTTAAAAACCGCCAGAGATGGAGCCTGCCAAACTCCAATGGGCAATGAGCTCCATAGCTTTGGGGCAGCATGGACAAATGCTCGTTCACCCCGCGATTTGAATCGCATCCGCGGCGTGCACAGCAGCAACAGGTCAGCCGACCTCAACGTGCGCGTGGGCACATGTGGAGTGAGCAGGCCAGAGAGATAGGGAGGTGCCAGGTCATTGAGAGCTTTAAATACAAAGGTCAGTAACTTAAACTGCACTCTGAAAATGACAGGGAGCCAGTGAAGATGTTGCCAGGACAGGGGTAATATGGCTACGTCGGTGTGTACTCGTCAAGAACCTGGCAGCAGCGTTCTGGACGACCTGCAGCCGATTCAGGGCGGATACCGGAACACCATGGATAAAGCATCTGCCTCCCACTCTGTCTTGCCGTGTTCTGACTTCGGTTCGATCCCCCGTCTCAGCAGGAATTTATTTTCTTCTTCTTTGTTACAGTTTAACCCTTCATGGTGAAACCATTTAAAACATCAGGACCATTTTTGATTTAGCCCGCTGAAGCTCCAGGTGAGGTGAGCAGAGACGATTGGGACCAGAACACCAGAACTAAATGCTGCTTGCTTGGAAGTGACCAAATTAAAAGACATTTAGAGACCCAACACATTTAGCAGAAAATAATCAATGAAACTAAAATAAAAAATATAATATTTCCCAATTTTTTAGAGTTAGTCACATCTCCAACAGCGGTCTCCTTAGCAGCAGGAGGCAGAACATGAAAGCAAATGAGCAGATTAGCAATGATTTGTTTCTTAAATTTTCTTATCATGTAGACCTGGGATCGGGAGAAAACTCCCCGTTTCCCATGAGACAAAGAAGACACGCCCATCATGTGTTGTAGGTCCAAGGATGACCAGCTTAGGTAACCTCAAAGCTGCAGCTTCAGCAAAAGGAAATTGACCAATTCTAGGCCTCAGGAACACAGGTCTGCATGTTTTCCATCTCTCTGCTTCAGCACACCTGATTTACATATTTGTGTTGCCTCCTTGGAGGACATGCAGTGCTGCAGGTGCCGGTTTATCACTCACTCATTGAAGTGATGGCAGCAGAGAAACGTGTGTTTCTCTGGCAACATGGAGAACAAACAGAGCAGGGGATCCTGAATTAGGAAACGGTGACTCAGCGGAATTTTGCTTCTACATAAGCATAGCGCCCCCTGCTGATGATCAGCCAGCTAATGACTAACAGGTTTAGGGGATAGCATCCTGCAACACATGCACTGCAGTAAGCAGATAGCTGAACATGATGTGATGTGTTATACAATTAACAGAATACGAGAATCACACAAGACCTACAGATATAGCCAGTATTTAACTTACTGCTTTATGTCCTTCTTACCAAATATTTCATTTAATTATTGTTGATGTGTTCGATAACAAGATGGCGCCTATGCTTGGCTTGGACACAGTCACCGGCCACTTTTTCAAACTTTTCTCCGCTAGAATCCTCTCTTCCACCTTGCTCCTGTCTGCATTCCTCTTCAGTAGTGTCCCTGCTACCATCTCCTATGATCGCCAGACTCTGTTGTCCTTCCGTTCGTTCACGATCGCCCAAGATGCACCGAGGACGTACCTCCCTGTTTGTTTATCTGAGTGGCGTACTGGCCCGGAGCCAAACGACGATTCCAAACAGGGCGCCTGCAGCGATGTTTGTCCGGTCCCGGGAAAACGTCGGAGGAAAAGAGGTAAACAAGCAGGAATCCAGGTGAGAATACGACTTCTCTTAAAGCGTGGTTTATCTAGTAAACATCAGCGTGATCTTCTAGCTTCTTGTCCTTTGTTTGGTGACCTGAGCTCCACTTCCGCATTCCTGCCAGGCCGCGTTGCGGCGCAGTTCATCCGTCCAAGTTTTTTAAGGTTGGTTTATCCTCATTCCTCAGTGGTTTCTCCTCCTGTTCCCTCCATAAGTGGTTTTTATAAACACCGTGGATCTAACCCTGCTAATTTACGTCCACTAACTACAGCTGTTTCTGTAGTTTCTGATTCCTCCACCTCACTCAGCATGGCTCTGTTAAATACCCGCTCTGTTAACAATAAGTCCTTCCTGCTCAATGATCTAATTCTCTCTAAAAACCTGGATTTTCTGTTTCTGACTGAAGTTTGGCAGCAAACATCTGATTATTCTGGTCTGGTTGAACTCTGCCCGAGTGGTTATTCTTTTCTTAGCCAGCCCCACGGTTCTGGTCGTGGTGGAGGCCTAGCTGTTGTTTTCAGAGAACATCTTCCATGTAGCTCTACAACGTCTGGTCACTTTTCTTCCTTTGAACTGCAGCTGATTAAAGTCGGGCGTGAGAACCCGTTCTACTGTGCTGTGGTCTATCGTCCACCTGGTCCAAACAGTTCTTTCCTTCAGGAGTTTAGTGACTTTCTATCCTCCACTGTGAAGCTGTCCAGACTGGTGATTGTTGGTGACTTTAACATCCACGTTGATGATCCCTCTGATCATTTTGCCATGAATTTCTCCAGCCTTATGGACTCCTTCGGCTTTACCCAGCATATTTCTGGCCCCACACACACACCAGGGGGCACACTCTAGACATTGTTTTTACCCTGAGTCTAAATGCTGACAGTGTTTGTCCTGAGGATGTTTATATTACAGATCACCATTGCATTTTCTTTAACTTATCCGTTTCTGCGTCCCCACCTCCTGCTTGCCGTGTGGTTAGTTCTCGTTTTCTTAATGAGAGCAGAGCTAGCAATTTTCTGCTGCTTTTGATCCACCCTGTTCTTCTGATAACGACCCAGATTCCTTAACTTCTCAGTTTAACGAGCACTGCCTCTCCATTCTGGACAACATCTGTCCTGTCAGAACCAGATCAGTTCCTGCAGTGAACCCTACTCCCTGGTTTATTGACAGCCTTCAAACACCTGTTGTGCGCTCTGGAGTGAGGAAGAGACGGTCACGTGACTCACGCCAGCTATATAACTTTATTAAACAGAAATTTTATTAATTATTATTTTTGTTATTGTTGAGGGGGCACAAACAGAAAATTCTTTTAAAAAGTAAAAAAAAATATATAAATATAAATAAATCATTAAACCTCAAAAAGGGCACTTTGGGCACATGGGACAAAAGGGGCAGGGTCTCAAGCCCCCCCCCCCCCCCCCCCCTGCACGTGCCTGCTGTTTAACCATGAAATTTAAATGTAATAGGGTAAACCCCAGTGCATTTGACATAATGCTGCACTTTAGAAAATGGGTTGCAATATAACATGTTGGTGGAGCTGGGTTCCGACTATCGGCTTGTGGAGCTCTCGGGAGACCGATGTTTTCCACCCGTTCTCGCCTCCCCGCAGCTTGGCGCATCTCTGTCTGATCGCGGCTCATGTCTGCTGTGCGGCTGCCGGCTTTCAGCAGCTTTCAGGAGACCTCTGTGTTCCACCCGGTTTTACCCAGCGGTCAGCCCGGCGTATCTCTGACTCCGAAGCTTTGGTGTTGTGCACAGTTAACTCCGGTTGTAGCTAGGTGGCTACCTCCGTTAGCTTAGCTCCCACCTCCACGTTAGCTTTGGGTTAGCTTCAGGTTAGCTTGTAGCTAGTTGAACCGGGTGTCAGTTGATCTCAGCCTTACCCCCAAATTCCACTACCCCCGCTCCACTCCGCTCCGACACGAACGCCGGAGCAAAATCAGTCCCGTTGTAGTCAATCAGAGCAATTCCACTACTGCGGCCGTGCTCCGGCAGTGCGGCGCAGTGCGCCGCCCTCTGTTCTGGCGTCCGCGCAGTAAATGGACAGAAATCACCACCGCCCAACAGGAAAAGGAGCAAGCACAACTTCCGTTTTTCACAATAAATCGATAAACAAAAGGCGTTTTTTGTTTCATATGCACAGGTTTAACAACTTTTAACAACTATCAATGGTATGGGGTGCCATTTGTAAAGTCAAACAGTCATAATCTAACAGCAATATTTTTGGTTATTTAGCATATCATAAGAGAAAAAATTGAGAGTTCACTTTTTCAAAGTCATATTTTCACCATGTTATTCATACATTTATAAATGTTAAAGTTTCCAAATAAATATTTAGATAGCACGCTAAATATTTAATTTATAGTTAAATATTTATGTTGCAAACTAAATATTTAGGTCTGATCTAAATACTTAGTTTGTAAAATAAATATTTAATTCACTAACTAAATATTTAATTTACTAATTATATATTTATTTTGGAAATAAATATTTAAAATTTAAATTAAATATTTAATTTGTAAATTAAATATTTTCCAAAGAAATATTTAGATCCCAGCTAAATATTTATTTTCCATGATGTTATTTAGCTCCACACTATAGATTATATTTTTGGGTCAGACTTAAATATTTATTTCTCAAATACTGATTTTGCAAACTAAATGTTTAGCTCCAAAATAAATATTTAGCTGGGATCTAAATATTTATTTCGGAAAATAAATGTTTAATTTACAAATTAAATATTTAGTTCCAAAATAAATATTTAATTAGTAAATTAAATATTTAGTTAGTGAATTAAATATGTATTTTACAAACTAAATATTTAGATCAGACCTAAATATTTAGTTTGCAAAATAAATATTTAACTGCAAATTAAATATTTATCTTGCTAACTAAATATTTATTTGGAAACTTTAACATTTATAAATGTATGAATAACATGATGAAAATATGACTTCGAAAAAGTGAACTCCCAATTTTTTTCTCTTATGATATGCTAAATAACCAAAAATATTGCTGTTAGATTATGACTGTTTGACTTTACAAATGGCACCCCATAGTTTTCATGACATTTAGCGTGTATTTGGCTGTGTCCGAATCCAGGGGTAGGATGCTTGTGAGTACGGGTCCTCGCCGGTCTAGCAAGACCGGGTCCTTGCTAGACCGCTAAAACCGGAAGTCAGCGGCTCTGAATTCGGACAGTACTAGCCTCGTTTTTATTCCCGCCCCCAGGTCCAGTTGCTTAGCTACCGTGACGGCGTCAAACAGGCTAACAAGCTAACAAGCTAGTCAGAGGTGAAAATGGATCCACAGCAGTATTCCCTTTTATTTTTGGTTTTTGAGGAGCTGCGACTGCTTAGTAAACGTCACCGGCCTTTGTATTTAAGGCTGAGAAGCAGCCATATCCAGGTAAAATTATTTTTTGTTTAGTGAACCAGCTTTCAGGCATTACGTGTTAACTTTAGTGCTATAGTTTCATTTATATTTTAAGCAACAGAAAGACATGTGGCTGAATATACACATTAGTATAGAGTAGACTAACATGCATATAGTTAATTTAACCTATATTCATCTAAAATAATTAATGGAATGACATTTTAGAAGTTTGTATTTGATCATAATGCTTGGTTCTGTGCATAAATTTCATAGTAAAAGTAGCATTACAATGTGTTTAATGTGTATTGTCCTTTTCAACTTATGCCTAATAATGCCTAGCTCTCTTCTAAAAATCTCAAGCATTTATACAGTTTTTTTTTAATTGTTTTATTGTTCTCTACTTCTCTTTTAACAGAACAGACCCCTGTAATGTAGGATAAACATGAGTGTGCCAGTCCTGGACCGTTTTTTTTAACCAGGAAGATCCCAGGCCAGATTTTCGTCTGAGCAGGGAGTCTTTTGTGGTGTTGCTAAATCTCCTGAACCAAGATCGGCGACATGGTTGGGGTGCCACAATCGAGACCCTGGTGTTTCTGTTCTGGTTGGCAAGTGGAACATCCTACAGGGTGGTCTCAAGAGTATTTGGGATGCCTCGCTCAACTGTCCACGACATCGTCCATCGAGTCACGGAGGATGTGGTCGCAATCCTCCACCAGGTCATTCACCTCCCCAAAACCCCAGAGGAGATGGAGGTTGTGTCTCGTGGGTTTGCTGGGCTGGCTCGACACAGAGCTTTCATGAAAGCAGCAGGTGCGATCGACGGCTGTCACATTCGGATCAAGGCTCCGAGCGGTCCTGATGGTCAGTGCTACAGAAACAGGAAACTGTTCCCATCTATCATCCTGCAGGCAGTTTGTGACCATCAGGGCCGCTTTATCGACACCTATGTGTGCTGGCCTGGGTCGGTCCACGACTCCAGGGTCCTCCGGCACAGCCCACTGTACAGGCAGTCAGCCTATCCTCCTCCAGGGCACTTCATCCTCGCGGATGGAGGGTACCCATGCCTCCAACATCCACTCCCCCTCATCACCCCCTACAAACGGGTGGTTCAAGGTGTGGGAGCCCAGCGCTTCAACAGCCAGGGCACGCTGCATCATCGAGCATGCTTTTGGAATGATGAAGACCAGGTTCAGGACCATCTTCCTGAAAGCGATGGAGGTCCACCACACCTTTGTACCTCATGTAAGTTAACACAAAGTGGAAATAAACTTTGGGTGTAATCTTTGTTTGGGAATGAAATATAAATTAAATGTTTATCTCTATTACAGGTCATCATAGCATGCACCATCCTGCACAACATCTGCCTCAGTGCTGGTGACATTGTGGTGCAGGACGATGAACTGGAGGATGATGCTCCAGAAGATGAGGGGGAGGCTGGTTTGGAGGCAGTCAGTGGTGCCCTCTGGCGGGACCAACTTTCTGCTGAGGTGTCTGCTCTGGAGGAAGTACCACCAAATCACAATTACTGTTAACAGGCAAGTAATTTACGTAGGAATCTCTAGTTTAAAAATCATTTAGTCCTGTTATCTGCTAGAGTTACAAGTATTATACTCATGATCTCCTTTTTTGCATATATCTGAATGTTAGTGATGTGACAGCCGTCGATTGAGCCAGCCCAGCAAACCCTTTTGATGGACGATGCAGTGGACAGTGAGATGACGCATCCAGAAGCACCCTCTGCAGACCACTCTGTCTGATGTTCCACTTGCCAACCAGAAACGTTCAGCCACGGATCTCGGTTGCTGCACTCCATCCACCTCGATGATCCATGTTTAGTAGATTTAGCAACACCACCAAAGACTCCCTGCTTTCCAAGTTTACTGTATATATTTTACTTTTATCTTTACTTTTATTCCTTACAGTGTTCCCTTACAATTTATTTACTATGTTGTTACTTGTTAAAAACTGAATAATAAAACTGTTAATGATCAAAAACAAGTTATCAATTAATAGAAATTTTATTACATTTAAACAAATAACAAAAACATTCAAACACATATATAGAACCTGAACCAGAAGAAACTAAAAGAAAAAAACTCCATTTCTCTGCCATCCTTTCCATCAATGCTAAAAATCTGTCCATCCTTCTTTCTCTCCTCTCCTCCGCTTCCCTCTGTTGTCTCATGTCCTCCCTGATCAGGTCAAGGAGCTCATCAGCCCTTCTCCTTTTTCTCCCTGATGAGGAGTCCGGCTTCCTTCCACCACTCTCCCTGTCCTCTGTCTCACCCCCTGCTGCACTTGGCCCTGGAGTGTCCTCGGGAATGGAAGCAATAAGGACAGGAGGCATAGTGGAAGGCCTCTGTCCCAACACCTCGTCCATGGGGACAAACCAGGGCCAGGTTTCAGCAGTGGGCTTTCCGCTGACTCCCTCTCCTGACCCTGTATACTTGCAGTCCTACAGACAAAGGGAATTAGAATTACAAGGCTTTATTGTCATTTAACAACAGAGAACACTGTGGGCATAATGAAATTACAGATGCTCCTTAAAGGTACTGGTTCTGGATGAGAATAGAGAGGAATAGAAGAACAAAGTCAGATTATAAATCATAGTTGATAAAACGTGCAATAAACAATATTTTAATTTATCAACATGGGAGATGAAAATTGTGTTCTGTGTTTTTTTCCGCCTAAAATGAAATTAAAAACATTAAATCAGTAATGTGGTTTCTTAAAAATTAACTTAAATAAACATTAAACTTAGTATTCGTTATTTTTGGCGTTCGTTACATGATTACATAAGATGCAAGCTCTTTTACGGTGAGTTTTTTCCTATTAGACTTTCAAGCAAGTTTACGGTGGGGTGTTAACCTTAAAACAAATGATGAGAAGCTTTATTCGCTAAATAAACACACACACGGGAATTATGACGGGACCACCATACAAGCTCGTTCTCGCTGATTTCTGCTTAAAATGTACTTATACAAACGACAAATGTCTATAAACAGAACCGCTTTCAGATTAGTTTCCTACCGCTATTTTCTTTTGAAAAGCCTGCTGGGATCAAGCTAGTTTACGGTGGGTTTTTTCCTATTAAACATTCAAACTGGTTTTCGGTGGGGCATGTTTTAGCCTTAAATTACATGAAAAAAAAAAACAATTTGCGGTATTAGATCTTATATAAAACACAAACCAAAAGTGTCCAAACACGTATTTTATTTTTTTGACCGCTATTTTTTTAACTAACTTACATTTTAAGCTGTACTGCTGTCCCGCTCCGTCCGCCGTTGTTGCGAGTGTCGAGTCCAGCGGCCGGCGTGCAAAGCATGCTGGGATACCCTTGCTCCTGTGAGGATCCATCAGACCCATCCTCGAAATGTGGGTGGAGCGAGGACGCGTTTGAGGACGCGAGAATGAGGATTCTTGGAATTCGGACAGTACTCGTCGCTGCGCTTTGACGTCATCGACCTCAAAATGCGCACTCACAAGCATCCTATCCGTGGATTCGGACACAGCCTTTGTCATGATGTGAGGGTGGGGATGGCGGACCATGTGTGGTGGGGGGTTCAGGAGGCAGAAGAGCAGGCACGGATGAAATAAAATGGATTTAATAGCAACGGGCGCGACAGGACAAAACGAGACATGCACATACAATGATCCGACAAAGGACAGGTGCAAAACAGGTGGTATAAATACACAAGGCTAATTAGGAAAACATGGGCAGGTTAACAAGGGGCAGGTGAGAACAATAAGGGCTAATCAGGGCAGGAGAGGAACACAGTCAGGAAGGCAGGGGCAGATCGTGACAGTATTTTATTTAAATCATCTTCAGCTTTACAAATTTTTGAGAACATTTGTTTTGCATTGTGTGGGAAAATAACCAAAAGTAAACTGGTGCACTCTGGGAGGTTCATGGAGTTCCGAGGACTCGCTTTGGGAACGGTGGTTCGCTTAGGGACTATCAACGAATTTGTAGTCCTTTGTAAACGAGTACAAAAAATAAAAATAAAAAACTTCCAGAATTATTTCCTAAATGACTCAAAATTACATTTACAAGACACAACAGTTTTGACACGCTTTACACAATCTGGTCTTCTTTTATTAGGATTTTATTCCAAAATTAAGGGATTTTTTTCAATAGCTCCTAGGTAAATCAGTCTAAATACACAAAACCATTTCTCAATGTTGTTACTAAGCCAGACCAATGAGACACAGCAATTTTTAACACCTTTAATATGATCGGATCTTTTTTATTAGGATTTTTATCAAAAATTAAGGGATTTTTTTCAGTAGATCCTAGTTAAATTATTCAAAATACCCAAAACCATTTCTCAATTGTGTTACTAAGCCACACCAATGAGACACAGCCGTTTATAACACCTTTCATACAATCTGATCTTTTTTTATTGGAATTTTTATCTAAAATTAAGTGATTTTTTTCAATAGCTCCTATAAATCAGTCAAAAAAAACCAAACCATTTCTCAATTGTGTTACTAAGCCAGACCAATGAGACACAGCCGTTTTTAACAACTTTCATATAATTTGATCTTTTTTATTAGAATTCTTTTTTATTAGAATTTTATTCCAAAATTAAGGGATTTTTTTTCAATAGATCCTAGCTAAATTAGTCAAAATACCCAAAACCTTTTCTCAATGTTGTTACTAAGCTAGATCAATGAGATACAGCCGTTTATAACAACTTTCACACAATCTGATCTTTTTATTAGAATTTTTTTCAAAAATTAAGGGATTTTTTTCAATAGCTCCTCGGTAAATCGATCTAAATACACAAAACCATTTCTCAGTTGTGTTACTAAGCTAGATCAATGAGACACAACAGTTTTTACCTTTCATGCGATCTGATCATTTTATTAGAATTTTTACAAAAAAATAAAGGGATTTTTTTCATTTGGATAGGTAAATTAGTCAAAATAACCAAAATCATTTCTCAATTGTGTTACTAAGCCACACCAATGAGACACAGCTGTTTTAACAACTTTCATACAATTTGATCTTTTTTATTAGAATTTTATTCCAAAATTAAGCAATTTTTTTTCAATTGCTCCTATAAATCAGTCAAAAAACCCCAAACCATTTCTCAATTATGTTACTAAGCCAGACCAATGAGACACATCAGTTTTTAACACCTTTCACACGATTCAACTAAACCAGTCAACTTCAGGGTTCATTTCAAGATCCTGGTTCTGGTCTATAGGGCCTTACATGGACAAGCACCATCTTACATTGGTGATCTTCTTAGTCCCTACACCCCCAGCAGGTCCCTGAGGTCCAGTGATCAAAGCATACTGGTTGTGCAGCACCAGGCTAAAGGTCAAAGGTGACAGATCATTTGCTGCTGTGGCCCCCAGACTCTGGAACTCTCTCCCCCTGAGCCTGAGATCAGTGGACTCAGTGGTCTCCTTCAAAAAGCAGCTGAAGACTCACTTGTTCAGGCTGGCTTTGTATGACCTTCTTCACTACTCTCTCTTTATTCTGCTCTCCCCACCTATTCCACCTTCCTCAGGATCCACTGATTTCCCTCTTTCCTATTCTCTCTCTCTTTCTTAACATTTATTTTTTAATCATAATTGTCTATTTTTGCACATTTTAAATGTATTTCTAAACATTTTCTAAATGCTTTTTTATATTTTTACATTTTTTTTGTTTTTGTGAAGCGCCTCGTGATTTTTATCTTGAGAGGCGCTATATATATAAATTCAAATTTCAAGTTCAAAGATACTTTATTAATCCCAGAGGGAAATTAGAGTTTCAGTGCACACAATTCTGAGATCAGACATACAGACATAGACCAAGGGTGGACTTTAACTTCAAAACCAACCGGCCAGCCGGGCTGGTAACTCTGAAAATTTACTGGCCCCGCTGGTCAGCTGCCAAAACGAGTCAAAATAACAACTGAACCATTTTAAATGTAATAAACCTTTATTTTGTACACATTCACAAACATAATAACGTATTCAAGTTTGAATTTGTTTGTTCCCTCAACAACTCGATTTTGTCGTCACATACTTATGGCATACAACGCAGTACATCACCTCCTCCGCTTTGCTGTACTCGAGCCATTGGCTGTGTTCGAGATGAGCCAGTTCTGCGCAGAGTAGACCAGCGGTGATCGGCTAGCAGTGCATGCCGGTTAGATTTGTGTCCGACTTGACGACGACTTGCTCTGACGTCATGCATACGTAGGCAACGATAACCTCGTGAGATCAAGGCGGCCGCAGATTTTGGAGCAAGGCGCTGCAGTTGCTCTCCACCGGCTGCAAAACCTAGGGGATGATGGGAAACGCCTGGCTCTCACCTGATCTAAGATCTGATTGGTTCATATTTTGATCCAAACATCGGGTGGTAGAACATGAAATGTTTGTTGGTCAGATGTATTCTGTAAATCACGTTATGTTGATGATGACAACTATATAGGCCATAAAGAGAAATGTGTTTTGTGTTCTTTTGTCACGTTTCCTATGAACACACTAAACCTACAGCTGGAAACCTTTACTTATTATTACAGTCATGTCTCCATATACAATATATGATATCCACAATTACGTGAGGATGTGTTTCAACTGCTAACAGGCACTAGGGCTGGGGTAAACGATTATTTTTAAAACGATTATTCTGACGATTATTTTATCGAATAGTCGACTATTCTAATGACTATTTAGAAAATTAATCTAATGATTATTTTTCTATTGCACAATTAACAAAAACCAGAAAATCTCAAATAAATTCCTCAAAAAAATTGATAAATTCTTACTGTAAGAGAATAAACACCACATGCCTTCCATTTTGTATAACACTGCTTTTATTGTGTTGCGGTTGGTTATGTTCTGGTGACGTGTAGAACTTGGGAGTGCAGGCTGCTGCCTGAGAGGTGGTAGAAGATGGAGTGTCTCCATGCTGCTTTGTTTTGGTCACTTATGTGCGTGAGGCGAGTGGTGTTACGGGTTAAACCAAACTCAAGGTGATATTATACACTAAACCGAAAACCCACAACACTCTAAATGTAATAAAAGGGAGATCTACACCACAAAAAAGATGAACTCTAAACCAAAACGTAACAGCTTATCCCAATGCAAGAAGCTGTTAGCGAAGATGCTAACAGTAGCTTTACCAACGTTAAGTTCAAGTTACCAAGTTTAAATAAACCAAAAACACCCAGCAGCAAACAGACCAGCACGGAGGAGAGACTGCTACCACTAAATCAGCTCTCCTAATGTCTGAAAGAAGCTCCTTTATGAAGGGAGAAACGCTCCCGGTGATGTTCTACATCTGCGGTAGAGATGAAGCAGCGCATCTGACCCCGGAAGTTGTTGTCCGTTGCCGGGAGACGAAGGCGGGCAAAACAGGAAAGGAATCTAGTAGCGGACGGACATTATTCCGGGTCTTCAGTATTTGGCGGAGATGTTAGTGAAGGCGGAGAAGAGGGCGAACTAGAGGAAAAACAGGCAGATTCCTCTTCTATTTACAAACTCCTGGGGATGCAACAAGTGGGCGCGGTGCGTCGACTTCCGGATCTGACGTCGACAAATTTTTAGAATCGAGCCGTCGACGTCGTCGAGGCTTCGCTACAGCCCTAACAGGCACCAGAATTAAAATTGAAAATTGAACAAGTGTGAATGCTAACGCGATATCTTCAGCCATCGTCACCCCCGAGCTACACATGCAGGGAAATCTGTCCGACTCAAACGCTGACTTTCAGCCACTCCCCCTGCTGCTTCCATCTGCTCTCGTCTGTTTTCCAGGCGAGGCGCTGCTCAACTCGAACACGGCCATTCTCTGCGCCTCCCGTCTTCTTTAAACCGCCAAGAATCATTCCACCTACGCACACGCTTCTCTGCTTCATACCGTTTCGAACGGTCTCGCTTCTCCTCAAAAGTTTTAAAGCGTTTTGCCGGAGATTTCATCAAGAAATCCAAACCCTGTGGCGGCGCGATCTTCCTGCGTGCTTGTGTGTTTCTAGCGTGGTTCCACTTCGTCTTTAATAGTTCACGTGACTATAACTAGAATCGTGCAGTACGTGCACGAATCGTACAAGTGCAGTACGTGGCTAGAGGCGCGCAGGTTCACGCGCGCAAAACGAAAACGGCGGCTTCCTACAGGGCGGGGCCATGATGTGGGTGAAAGCCGGTGTGTAAATGACAAACAAGGCTTGGGCGCCACCCGGGCGGTAAGTCGTCAAGTATTTACCGCCCAACGAGAAAATTTAGCGCCATTGGCGCTCGGGTGCTTTAACGGTCCACCCCTGTAGACACATGACAAGAATTGGTGACTGTGGTCATTCGCAACCCGAGTCGCGCTACCGTAATACCGTAAGAGGCTAGAGTCAGGGGGAGGGAAAAAAAAGGCACTTCAGAGTTACCCTCAACAGAGAGCAAGGCCGGATTAACGATATGGGCAACTGGGCAATTGCCCAGGGCCCACAAACTCTAAAGGGCCCAGGGCAGCAAGGGCACGAGCAAAATTATGTATCTGTAATTTCCTGCTTTATGAGGACTATGGTGGCCGTACGTCCTGTTTTCCCCGGACATGTTCACTTTTCACTCTCTGTCCGGGGCGTCCGGACTGGGGGTTCTTGTATTGATGAAAATGTCCGGCTTTTCATCAGGAGCAGGGATCGAATTATGGGGGAGCTGGATATTCTACACATCCAGGGGAGCCGGAAAAAAGTTTTCTACCTATATTACATCATTTATGGACTCTTCTGAGCAGAGAGCACAGAGAGCGGCACAGCGCGTTGTTGCGCAGCGCTCCAGGCTGCTGCTTCCAGCGCACGGTCCATTCTCAAAGTGGCGCAACCAAAAAACTATAATTAGCATGCCATCGTTCATGTCCGCACATGTTCTCTACTTTCTGTCTTATTTGAGCCTGAAGCGCTCTGCTACTGCGGAGCTCATCACCTGTGCTGCAGTGATTTCACTTCACTGACGCAGCATCGAAAGGCGCACTCTGCTTTGCGGTCAGGAGATCCCTTTGATCTGCTCAAAAGTAACAAGGTGAAAAAGTAAGAATCCAGGCAGCAGTTTTTCTGGAGAGTTTAGAGGAGATGCAGGAAGATGAGAGACAGACAGGACAGGAAAATAGTTCAATAAAAACAAAAAAACAAAACAAAAAGTAAAATGTAGGTAGATTTATCTCCACTACACGTTTTTACCTGTATAAAGCAATAAGTTATACACATGTCATATTTATACATCTGATACAGCTCAGATCACCTTCAAAACTCAGTCACACACCCAGGGATGTTTCAAGACATTTTGGGGGCCAAGGCAAAATGACCCCCCCCCCCCCCAATAACTGGGCTCCCCAGAAGCCTCTGTAATTCATACCCTCTCCAGGAGTATTAGTTATACAGTGTTTGTAAAAGCTCCTCAGACATCACTGACATGTTCTAATATCATCAGATGAAAAACGTTGGTTACGTATTGTAACCCCAGATTCTATGAGTCTAGTCGCAGCCCTTAAGCGAGCTGCTATTGGAAGGGTGATCTCAGCATCAGCCAATCATGAAGAGCTTAAAT